TTTTTTAGCGGCCACATAGATATAACAATTCTTGGGGCCATGCAGGTGTCACAGTTTGGAGACATTGCTAACTGGATGATTCCAGTAAGTATTAACAAGAAACGTTAAACTTGCCATATTTGCCATATTGCTTTGTACGCTTTCAGGTCTTTAAAATGCTGCTTTCTTGTCTAGCTTATGGACGGAATAAGTAATTTGATTTTGTGAAAGCTGCTTTCAGTATACGTTTGCTACAACAAATGCGAAAGATGCGGAGCGGAGCTGACGTGTGCCATCCCAGTGGCATCAAATTTCGACGCAAAAATCATGCTGGTCTATGTTCCAACATTTTGATCATTTTTGTTGTTTGCAAAAATGGGGTAGTTATTTTCTGAGAGCAGGAACCTGTGGAACGGAAGTCAAGTGTAGAAATAATTGATCGGTGCGATTCATTGATTGGCTTAATTGATTGATTGATCGATTGATTGACAGGGTAAGATGGTGAAGGGAATGGGCGGAGCAATGGACCTGGTGTCTAGTGACTCCAAAGTCATTGTCACGATGGAACATTTAGCAAAGGTTTGTAGACGAAAAACATTTCTCTGCTCTAAGTTGGTAAAGTGGATGTGTTTAGTGGTCAAAGCAACATACGCTTTCTAGTTGGCCGCCACCATCTCTTCTCGAGAGGAGAGAAATCTATTTTTTAATACGATGCGAAATATTATCCTTTTCAGGGAGACAAACACAAGATCTTAGAAAACTGCACCCTACCCTTGACAGGAACGAACTGTGTAGATATGATTATCACAGAAAAGGTGGGCTGTTTAACGGCACGGTTCTCAATAGTTTGTAGGCTGTTCGCGTTGAAGAATATGGCGGTTTTGGTTGGGCGTCCTAAGTAATAAAGGCGGGCGAGAGCATAGAAATTGCGAAGAGATTTGGGCGGGAGCAACTTGAAAAATCGTTCGAATCCGTGCAGGCGGTTTTTATTTTTCGCGCGGCTTCGCCGCTCGTTCTCGCGCGAATTTCGCGGCTTCGCCGCTCGTGCGCCCCGCTCGACAAAACCGCCATGCTACCCAGGCTACAGCGCGAACGATAATACTATTTATAGCTTGAGAAATGCTCTCCCGCCACCTCGGACGCTGAAACTAGCAGAGAGTTGGGGCGAGTCAAAAAATAATTTNAGAGGAGAGAAATCTATTTTTTAATACGATGCGAAATATTATCCTTTTCAGGGAGACAAACACAAGATCTTAGAAAACTGCACCCTACCCTTGACAGGAACGAACTGTGTAGATATGATTATCACAGAAAAGGTGGGCTGTTTAACGGCACGGTTCTCAATAGTTTGTAGGCTGTTCGCGTTGAAGAATATGGCGGTTTTGGTTGGGCGTCCTAAGTAATAAAGGCGGGCGAGAGCATAGAAATTGCGAAGAGATTTGGGCGGGAGCAACTTGAAAAATCGTTCGAATCCGTGCAGGCGGTTTTTATTTTTCGCGCGGCTTCGCCGCTCGTTCTCGCGCGAATTTCGCGGCTTCGCCGCTCGTGCGCCCCGCTCGACAAAACCGCCATGCTACCCAGGCTACAGCGCGAACGATAATACTATTTATAGCTTGAGAAATGCTCTCCCGCCACCTCGGACGCTGAAACTAGCAGAGAGTTGGGGCGAGTCAAAAAAATAATTTCAAGGACCGGCTGACGGACTTAAGGAGGGGAGGGGGAAGACAGGAGGCCCCTCCTCCCTTAGTTTTTAATTTGCTTTCAAGATGGCGGCCGCGATCGACATACTGTACCTCTGGCCTTTTCGTTAAAACACCGAATGCTCTGCAGGTTAGGTTCTCAAATGACTGATAGTTGCAGAGCCATGCATGCCCAATTGAACGCGAAATATTCCCTTCCAATCCATACTCGTCCATTACTAAGGACCATTTAAAAATTTTAACGCCAGTTTATATTTTACTTCCTGCTTTCTTGTTGCTGTAGTGTGTGTTTGAAGTTAGCAAAGAAAATGGTCTGATTCTCACTGAGTTATGGCCAGGAGTTTCTATTCAAGATATACAGATCTCCACTGGCTGCTCTTTTGAAGTAAGTAATTAAACTTTTAAACGTATCTCCAGCTGAATTTTAATACTAGAGAAGGTTTTTCTCCTCGGCTTATTGACAAGGAAAATTACCACCTGTAAATACGGCTTGAATTATTAAGAACTGCGTACAACTTTGTTTTTTACCTTCTCTCTTATACATGTTCTTTTACCAGGTTTCTCCAGATTTGAAAGAGATGGAGCAAGTTTCTTAAAAGAGAGAGAAGGAGAGAGACAAAAACGAATTGTATCATAGTATTTATTCTGAATTAATTCCATTTGAAAGGACAGTGGTATGGAATTCTATCAGACACACACGGAACAGGAAATTCCTTCCAAGTTTAAGTCGAGAGGAGAGAATTACGTTTTCAATACGACGCGAAGAGAACTTAAAATTGGTGTATTTAATGTAGTGCAACATGCTCCGTGTCGAGTGCGGGAAAACGTACAAACATTGCAAAGCGCGGGAAAATACTATCCTGTGTATCACGTGACGACCATTAGGTTTTTTTATTGGTTGGTTTACCTAGAGATAGTTATTTTTAAGGCCGATATGATAACTGTTTGGTGCGGAATATATTTTAATGAAAAAGGCTTTGGAGTGGACAAAACTGAATAAGGTATTCTATAGTTGCCGCATGTGTGTATAGATAGGTTGGGTAAGGGTATTTCTTCCTTTGTTTCTGTAGTAAAAGAAACGAAATGGAATGTGTTTCTCTCACGTGACATGGCAAATATATTTGACTATTTGTATACCAGTGAGTTCTCTTTTTATCCGAAAATATAGAATTGCTGCGCATGCGCACACGAGAGAAAACACGTCGGCAAGGGTAACGCCGACTTTAACTTTTAAGAAGTCATAAGAATCTCTGCTGAGCCGGGCTTAAGACGGATACCCTGGCTGCAGAGGTCCGTTCTCAAAATATCTTAGATGAAAGAAACCGTGCTCAGGAAAGGAAAATTTAAACCTCTTGCGCTTAGGGTAAGAGACGGAGGGAAGGAGTTTACTTTGAGAAAGGAATTCAAGAAAGTTGTGTCTTTCCTTTGTGTTTTATTTCTGGTCACAATAGATAAAACAACAGACCCTTTAATTTCACCATGCGTTTGTAATATGACGATAGTTTTCTTCTCGAACGGTAGATACATTAAGTAGGTCGTGAGTACAAAACGCCAGAGAACTTAACGTATATTTACAAGGTCAGCGTGCAAGGGGGGTGGGGAAGGGAAAGGACTGATCGCTTTCCTGGACACACCCCACCCCAGTATGAGTTGAAAACTTACTTGCAGGCTATTAAAGTGAAAGTTTTTCACACAAAGTTTCCACCCTGGAATCAGATGGCCGTTACTTTAAAAGAGTACCTGTAAAGCGCTAGTAAAGCGCTAGTAAAGCGCTTGCACGCTATTCTGGCAGTGTAAAATCACACACACGTCAATAAGCTAGGTTGTGTCATAAACGTTATGGCAAAAAGGGGCTGCATCACCAAAATACTTGTGTGCATCTTCCATTAAATTTTCACTAAAGAGACTGGGTCACCCAATTTTAGCACTCATCATCAGTTTTTGGCTGGTATTTTAAAATAGCTTAAAACTTAACAAGAAAACAAAAGAAATAACGGAAAAGCAATGGGAGGCAAAGCCTGGCAAACTTGAGAAGACATTAAAAACAGCTCTCAGTATTAGTAAAAATGATAGAGACCTGGTTCAATCTGTATAAGAGTGTTATTTCAGTAAAATGCTTGGCAATAATCCCCGCTTGTTACGTGGCGCGATCTTTTTACATAAACTATTTTTGCTTTGCGAATTTACAGTTTTAAACTTAAAAAATAATAATGCAGTTAACTGTCTTCTAACGAATAGCTGTTATAATAAGATCCCTGGTGTTCTTCTGTCCTTTTGATTTGGCTCGTAAGGGGACACGCGCCGACGGCCGGTCTCAGTGGTTGCTGTCTAACAGAGAGTTGGCTAAGGTAGTCAAAAAGCACGAAAATGCTAAGTTCTCTTAAGTTAAATGCTGCGTACGTCTGTTACGCTCCATTTCAAGGGCAATACAGTGCGATGAACGATAAAAATTTTTTCGATTTTGAAAAGGCGCAGTTAACTTAGGGTTTTTATTACCAGGTCATAACGATGAATTCGGATAATCCGTGATTTTGACAAAGGACAGCAGACAACGTTTGGATGGCGAGAATGGAAAATGATTGAAACCTGAAAAAGTTGGACCAGGTTGTTCAAGTTTTAATGCTATGCTGCAAAAATCACCTAAACATTATGGTCAGTGCTCCCTGTTTTATATCGTCTTCATAACTCTACTGCAGTATTTTGAGTATTGGTTAAGGCACTAAGTATTATTAGTAAAATCCAAATATTAGTGGTCTATTATCAACGCTGCGTTCTGATTGGTTAGTGCTCCCTGTTTTATATCGTCTTCATAATTCTACTGCAGTATTTTGAGTATTAGTTAAGGCACTAAGTATCATTAGTAAAATCCAATTAGTGGTCTATTATCAATGCTGTGTTCTGTTTGGTCGAGCTTCTACTAGGCTATATGTTATGGCCCACTAGTAGCGAAGAGCACCGACTTTGAAAACCAAAACAATGGTGGCTGAATCGCGTTTTGCTAGCTAAAGTTGTTTTGTCTCGATATTTTTGACAGACTAGTTGGATTTTAATAAAACAATTATTCCTCTAGCCCTCATGGCCTCTGGGTCAATAGCCCATTCCTTCGGCCTCGTGGGCAATTGACTTAGAGCCCATTTGGGCTCAAGGAATAATTGTTTAATATCCTTGTGACAATAGCCCATAAAGAGGCCTTAAAACATGCATAAAGCTTAAAAAAGAGGGCCTTCTAACTATGACCTTGTGTCTCTTCCTAGGCAAGCGTGTGCAATACAGGGTAAAACAAAAGTCTCTTTGACGTTTTATGCTAATAAAATGTGTTGACTAATATCCTCCACCATATCCATACTGACCACCAGGGGGTACCGGACCTCTTCCTACTCCCCCTGAGTAATAGTCCTGTCCTTGTTGGTATGACTGTGCAGCGTACTGGTTATGGTTATACTGTGAGGACGGAGGTGGACCATACCTGTTTTCAGTCAGTTGATAATTTGATTGATATCTGTGACCACCTGATGCTTGGTAATACTGGTAATTATCACCAGTCATAGGTGGCTGGTAATGAGACTGATATCTGTTATCACTAGAGGGCTGACTTCGATCATAGTTTTCTTGTGGTCCATAAGAGGCCCCGTAACTATAGTCATTGTATCTGGGCTGAGGTCCTTGATTATATACCCTATGTGGTTCTCTGGTTTGCCCTGACGGAGGCTGAAAAGGACCATGATCATTTCTTGGTCTAATGGGGGCTGCACGGGCATCTGGTGGATTTCCATAAAAGGGCTTGTCATGTGATGCTCCTCTTTGATCTCTTGATTGATAGTTACCATGGAAACCAGTACGGTCACTTTGGCCAGAATGCTGACCTTGATGACTGTGATATGAAGGTGCTGTATGGCCTGCTTTCTCGGGGCGTTGTCTTTTAATGTCAGAAGATGTACCGGTATTCCCGCTTGATGCTGAAACTTCATCAGGTTTTCTTTTTTTCTCATTCTCTTTGAACTCCTTCCCTTCACGTTGGAACTGGGCCACAAGGCGTTCTGAGCTGGCTTTATCCTCTTCAATATACCAAACATCATCAAAAGTATCTCCAACTTCAGGGAGAGCAAAGTTTGCTTTCATCTCAAGAACAGCAGACTCTGGCACAACTTTTCCTTCTTCTCTTTCTCTTTTCTCCGTCCGTTCCTTTAGAACATCATTCGTGTTTACAATCACAGCAGCAATTCTACGGAACCCATGAAAGTTATTCATCTTTCTTCGCCGTGCAGTGAAATACACATTGGTTTGATCAAGAATGTAGTTCCGATTCTTCCTCTCGGCAATTTTAAATATTTTGTTTAAGACATATGTAGCTTGTTTAATGAGTGCATCCCAGCGGCCATGGTAGTTGCGTTTCCTCATCAATCCCATCACCTTCATTTTATCCATTATTGTGTTTGTTCCCAAGATATGGAATTTCTTTTCTGGGTGATCTTTGGCGTATTTCTCGGCCCAAAATGTTTTACCAGAGCCTGGTAATCCTACCATCATAATAATCTCACATTCTCCTCTTGACAAAGGACCCACTGATCCCCTTTCTAAGTATTGGGGTGGCATGTGCGAGAGCAGGCTAAATCCCTGAAGGGGTGGAAAGTATGGCTGAAACTGTCCAAAGTTTATTGCGAGACGCATGTTCTTAACGGTGATGTGGGGGAAAAATGTCTGTCCATTTGACTCAGGTCCAAGGCGAAATGCAACACCAAGGTAATTGCCATTTTTGGTGAAAAGTATAGCCCTGGGCGTAGAATCAAGGTCTATACAGCAACATATGATGTCGCCTGTTGTATAGGGCTCGCCGTAGTCAAAGAACTTGTTGTTTACAGAAACTTTTCCAGTACCTCCATAACCATAAGACAAGTTATCCTCTCCAACCTGTAAGAAAAGTGGGTAAGGTAAGGTGAAGAAGCACCAAGTCAAAGGTGGCAAACTGCTGGAGCTTAGGCATGCAAAGGAAACTGGGATAGAAGTGTTACTACTCCTCCCTGGATGGGATGCTAGTCCATCGAAGGGTTACTGCCTAATTCCCCCCTCCCCCTGCCCCCTGCAGTATGTCACTGGTACCCATTTAGAGAGACACAGGGGAATGAAGTTTCTTAACTAAGGAAACAATGCGACAGGTAAGGCTTGAACCCTGGACTTCCAGATCCAGAGTTCCAGGTGTTAAAAGCACATAACTCCAAGTAGAGTAAGTGGACGATCCCATATGAAAGAACTGAGCTGAAAAGAGCACAGGGTAGTAAAAGTACCTTTAACCCTTTAAACCCTAAGATCAAAATTTGAATTCTCATTTGTTGCCCCTACTCATTTCCTACAGAAGTAGTGGGGAGAAGTTGAGATAAAATATCAAGCACATTCATCTTGTGTGATCATGTCTGTAATTCTCATGACCACTCTGTTTTACAAAGCATTGATATTACAAGGAGAAATTTGATGCTGATCACTCTTAAGGCTTAAAGGGTTAACCAATCATACCCACCTGTAAATTAGCCTTGTCCACTGACCAGCCCACTCTTACGACGTGGGGGTTTGTCTCTGTTTCGGGCATGGTAACTGGTAGTTTTTCAAGGACACTTACTTCAAAACAAACCTGCAAATGATACAAGGATGAATAAACTTTAAGCAGAATTCTCAATCAATAATTCAAGATGCTTGCTGTGGGTGCAGGAGTTAAAAAGTGAACAATAAATCATGTAGCTAGAGAGAGAAATGCCATACATTTCACAATATTTGTTCAGGGACGTCACTGAGAGCCGGTGGGCAGCTAATTTCACCGACTGGACAAGAGCTTACCACCAGCTCAAATTGCTCTAGAAATCACAGACATGGGGTAATTTTGATCGTGCAGTTGAATAAAATAGCCAGCATGACTATTAAAAAAGCCTGACTAGCTTTAAATCTTTAGCTACATCCCTGTTTATTGATAACAATACTTTAATGTTGACAGAGTTGTTACCCTCCTTTGTAGATGTGCTTTTGGCTTGTCATACTTTCCTCCTGTGTATAGGATCATCTGAAAAGACAGCTCCACAGCTTTGAGATAGTCCTATCATCATTTTATTTTGAAGGGGGGGTGGGGGGTCCAAGGTTGGTTCTTGATATCCCTGAGATTGGTTAGAGCTGGTTAACACAAGCGATTGCAAATGCAAACACAAGCATCCATACAAGAAGCGGAAAAGTTTTCCCTTTCTTGCTTTGACGCTCAGGTTTTACAGTCGTAATTGATTAACACAATATAATTTATCATTTATTTTATTAGTGAAGAATAACAAAGGTAGAAGTGAATAATAATAAAAAATTTTCAATTCGGCTTTCGTATGATGAGAAGAATTATGCAGATCTCGGAGGATGTTATCCACCTCCGCTTTCCGCCTCGGTGGATAACATGCTCCTTGATCTGCATAATTCTCCACATACTAGTCGGCCTCATCCAATCAATAAATCTTACTAAATGTCGAATCCATGATGTTTACATGCATTTAAATGTGTTCACACCTTGCCAGATCTAACTCCATGTGTCGCCCTTGCTCCAGCCCACATATATTCAAATCCATCTTTGTGTAAACTAGATCCTGTGACGCCATCTGCTTCAATAACAAAGTTAAGATCACTGTTGTAATCATCAAACACGATTCTCGGAGCAGCTGGTCGTGAAGATTCATAAGGAACTGCGGAACCATATGATGGCCCAAAAGATCTTGAATCGAAACCAGAATGTTGGCTTTCATACTGATTATACGATCCGTATTGATCATAGCCTTGATTGTAACCCCGTTGATACATTTTCTGATTCAGATCTCGAGTCAGAGTAAAACTCAAAAACTAAGATCTTGAATCGAAACCAGAATGTTGGCTTTCATACTGATTATACGATCCGTATTGATCATAGCCTTGATTGTAACCCCGTTGATACATTTTCTGATTCAGATCTCGAGTCAGAGTAAAACTCAAAAACAGTTGTATATCAGCAGATCGAGCAAACGACAGCGACGCTCTCAGTGGAAGCCCGCAATGCATGTTAGTCATGAGGATGAGTGGAGTTTGGGCATGACATAAACAACGCGGGCGACTTTGAAATTTCCACAGAGTCAACGGATCTTCGTCAACTTCGTAGAAGGCTGTCGTATTTTGAACATTTTTGAACATCATGAGTAACTTCTCTACGCCAGCAGGTCAAAGAAGTGCGAGCCGATTACTCGTGGAAAGCGAAATATCGCCATACAAGGCCTCTCCTTTCGTGATTCCTCCATCTCCGTTTATGACACGTCTTGGCTGTGGAACGGGAGTTTCAGTTTACAGACTCAACCGAGACTCTAACGAAAGCAGTATGCGATCCCCTTGGGCCGTCAAAAAGGTCAACAAGAAAGCGAGATCCGGAATAAGTGAGCGATTGGCGCTAGAAGCGAGCATTTTGAAACAACTAAGCCATCCTAATATCGTGGGATTTCGTGCCATATCTGGGAGCATAGATGGAGAGCTTTGTCTTGCGATGGAAGACTGTGAGAAAGCGCTGGAAGATATCATCGAGGAAAAAGCATTTTTAGAAGAAGATTTCACCTACGAAGAGATCCTGAAAGTCTCCTGGGCTATTGCTAACGCCCTGAGTTATCTGCATAACGACAAAAAGATCTTGCATGGTGATATTAAAAGTGGAAATGTTTTGATCCGTGGTGACTTCGAAGCAGTGAAACTTTGTGATTTTGGAGTCGCACTAAGGCTTAAGGATGATCTGAGTGGTTTGAAAAACCCCTGTGATAGATATATTGGTACAGAGCCATGGAAATGTAAAGAGGCTCTCAAAGGAGGGGTCATCTCTGACAAAGCTGATATTTTTGCTTATGGTCTCTTGATCTGGGAGATGCTTGCTTTAAATGTTCCTCACGTGGACTTATTGGCAGGTACAGAATAAGTGAATTTTATTAACTTTTTTTTGTGCCTTCTAAACAGAAAAATAATAAATCCAGAAAACCTATGTAGGGGGCAATAGATCAGATTGACAGGCTTCAGAGTTGGGTCTGTTGGGTGGGTGGGGAGGGGTGTCCCTTTCCTTTCCTTTGGGGGTCCTCTCATGCATGGGAAAACTGGGAGTCTGGGGTCCTCATTTAAAAAAATTTAATTTGCAGGCCCTGAAAAGTGACAAGTGACTAGCCATAATGGTATCACTGATCTTTATTTAATGTGGCTAAATGTAATTTAGGCAATCAATTGGAGCTTCGTTACGACCAGTCGACAAAGGGGTCGATATAATCCCCACCGGGCTACAGAGATCGTCCCCGTGGAGCACTGAATATATGCGTCAACGAACGTTGCAGTTCTTCGCAAAGTGTTGTTTTGATTGCCGGCTGTTTGCGTGCCAGTTTGTGCTTTGGTTTTTCCCATCCCTCCCTCCCTCTTGGTGTGGGCTAGGTAAGTATTTGGTCGGTAAGTATTCCACTGAATTGTTCAGTGTGACGGTGCCTGGTGGGGGCCGCTCGCAGGGTTGCCATGGATACCTCCTCCTCATGCTAGCGCATTGCCCGGCTCCACCAACTTTGAAGGCACCAACGCCCAAGCTCATCTATTGGTGATGAGTTTTACCGTATTTATTTGATTAACCGCCCTGGGCGCTTATTAAAGTTTTGGACCTTGAGAGTGGGCACTTATTTGAGGCTGGGTGCTTATTAAATTTTCACCATTTTCAGCGAGTGAAGTATGTTTATTTTGCAACAAAACAATAAATGCTAATAACAAAACGCGAAGAAGTAACAAAGCAAGGTTTCTGTAAAATACTCTGAAGAAACTCCATCCTCGGGGAAGTCTCTTATTAGAATTTATTCACTCAAGTGGGTGGGGTGGGGCTGAGTGCTTATTTGAGTTTGATTGGGAGGAGGAGGGGGTGGGCGCTAATTCGAGGTTGGGCACTCATTCGAATAAATACAGTGCTTTTCTCGTTTTTATGCTATAATCTTTAACACTGCTTCTGTGGTCAAAAAAAAAATCCCTCTCAAAAAAGACATTCACTGTGAATAGTCAGCTCTTCTGTGACAACTAGACAGTGATTTTTGCCAGTTGCTGGAGCTTTTAGAGAGCCCTGCTTTTTATACTTTCAAAGCAGTCCACATGTGCACTGCTGAGGTATAAATTTTGTCTCTCTCATAGAAAGTGATGAAGAAGGTGACACAGGGCTAAGCACAGATGAGGAAGATGATGGTTCTTGTGACACAGAGGAGTACTTGGCAGCGTTGGGAACAAGGCCACCTCTTCCTGCTAAATTCCAGGCTGCAGATTGCATCATGAGTCCTGTTATTCAGTTGTTTTGTTGTTGTACATCAGAAAATCCAGCAGATCGACCTAGTGCCAAAGACATTATTCTGGCCCTGAAACCTGAGGTCACTGCCAATAATGGTCAAAGTCAAGGATGATGATATGTGACCATCAGTTGAAAATATTATTAATTTACTATTGTAAACAAAATATCGGACCATCTTATCACTAGATCTTCAATACTGATGGCAACACAGAGAAGAAGCCATTACTGTACTGTAGAATTAGTTATAATATTAGACATTTTACCAAAGGGCTGTACTCTAACTATGCAGGTCTGAACAATAGCATTGCCCAGTAGCTCCTGGCACCTTACTTTTGCCTGTGGAGGAGACTAGGAAATCTTAGTTTTTTTCCATAAAAATCATTTCCCAGGCTTCCTTGATTTCACAGGTTTAGTGCACTGACAAGGCCCTTTTGGAGCAGAGCACTGGTCTGTCTACTATTAGACACCCTTGCTGGTTGAAAAAGCAAAGCGAATAAATCAGACTTTTTACACAATCCAATTTCCCGTTAGATGGTTGGGGTTGATTGCCAAATACTGTAGGGGTGTGGTAGGGGATTTGCAAGTGCACTCGCCCATCCCTGAACCCCATGGGAAATTGTTCTTTTTCTCAGTTTTCTCCAACAATAAGAGATCAACGTAGCAGCCTCCCAAACCTAGTGTTGATTACCCCTGCCAAACAGACAGAAAAATGGGGAACTTCGAACAGTCTAAGGACAAGCTAAAAGGATGCGAGAATTAGAAGAGACATATTTCTTCCTACTACTCTTTCTGCTCTCTCTTTGAAGTACTCTATTGTAATTCACTAATAAATTTTGTGATACTAATTTATTGTAGTTGCAGGGCCTAGGGAAGGGAACAGGATCCCATCTTATATTTTGGCCAAACTGAGGCCTGAAGGGCCAAGGAAATTTTTTTGAGAGTCGCCCCACTTTTTATCTTGTGGTCTGGATGAGTAAGCCCCCCTGGCCTTCTTTGGCTTTTCATTTCTCAGCCAAAGCTATGCTTTTTCCATGGTACAACATCATGGTGCCTGCAGAATGAGACTGTGTTAGGGAGTGTCACTATATCTAATGTAAGATTTAATTGGCTTACAAGAATTTCAGCCGTAGCTAATACTGATATATCAAGAACGCAGCCAGTACAACACTTGAACAAGATCAACTCTCATGTGAGAGAATACATTGGTTACTACTGACTGTTAACGGAAGGCATGTAAATGAGTTGATCCACGCTCAAGTTTTGTCCCTGCCTGTTGTAGATAGTAAGAATACTCTCTTTTGAATTTTTGTTACATGATAAAGAGTTTATGTATTCAAGGATAGAAATAAAATTAATTTTGGTCAACAGTATTCGGCACAGTTCCTGTTTTTTGGTTTATTGGATTCATAAAAAGATATGCACAGCCACTTCACTTCACCAATTTCTTGGGTTTATCAAATTAAAAACATTCAGTCTTTTCCTAACTGAAAGCCTTAATAATTTGATATGGTGGTTGAAATATGTGGATAAAATGCTGACCCCAAGTCCATCAACTGCACTGATGGACTACTAGCTAGCCTGTATACAGATGCCCCCCTCCTCTCAGGAAATATCGGGAGAGAATTTTTCTGCGGGGAGGGGGTGTCCGTACACAGGCTACTACTAGCCTGAGAAAACAGAGGACATTTTGCGATGCCACCACCATTCATTTCCTCTGTGAAATGGCATCTGAGGAACGAGTGCAGAAATATTATACTGATGATGTGTCACTACCCGGCGTAGTGATTCTGATTGGTTAAAGAAATTTAATGCCTCGAGGCAAGATAATCAGTCAGGAGCACTACACATGCTACACATAAATATGGGTAGTGATGTCAGTTTAGAATTTCTGTACTCATTCCTTAGACCTCAGCTGTTTTCTCACTTTCCTTAGTACTGTTCAGGTTCACTGAATGGCTTACTGTACTGGGAGACATTTTTTCTCACATCAGCATCCTCCCACCCCGTCTCCCAATTCTGTGTTTTCACTCACGTGGCCAGCATCTATGCAAATTTATTGGAACAAAAGTAAGCGTTTGCATAAGAGTACAACTCCCACAGGACTGGTTTGGGACACCAACATGGCCGCCGTTTCATTGTTTTGGGACACAGATATGGTCGCCATGACGTCATGTGAAAACGCACAACATGATTTTTTTGAGCCCGTAAACTTTACCGCTGACCACAACAAAGATGGAGGATCGAGCAGTACGGAAAATTGATAAGCAATCTTTCGCTAAGGAACACTCATTCAAGTTACTGAATAAGCTAAATTTGTTGAAAAAGCGAGGTTTAATGTGTGATGCGACTCTAAAGGTTGGAGGAAAGGAATTTCCAGTTCATCGAATTATACTGTCAGCCGCCAGTCCATATTTTCAAGTCATGTTTACAAGTGGTCTGGCAGAAAGCCATTTGGATCATGTAGAAATTCACGGTATTAACGCAGAAGTTTTCAGCACTGTTCTTGATTTTATCTACACCGGAAAAGTTGTTGTGAACGAAGGTAATGTTCAACAGCTTTTACCTGCATCGAAGATGCTTCAAGTAGACGATATTGAGGTTATGTGCTGTGACTTCTTGAAACGTGAACTGGATCCTTCAAATTGTGTGGGCATTTACATGTTTTCCGACACCCATTCGTGTACTTCGTTGTCCAAATCGGCGCTGGGCTTTATTCACAGGAACTTTGTCGAAGTTTCAAAACAGGAGGAGTTTGTGCAACTCACCAAAAAAGCATTATTTCAACTTCTAGAATCAGAAGAACTTAAAATTGAATCTGAGGAACAAGTCTTTGAGGCTGCTATGCGTTGGGTGTTACATGACATTTCTCGAGGGCGTGAGTCACTAGGGCAAATCCTTGAACGCATAAGACTCCCGCTTATCTCTCCAAAATTCCTTGAAAAGTATCTTCTCACGTGTGAAAGTGCAAGTATTCAGAGGATGTTAGTGGGAATTCTTGATGGATATAGAAGTTACCAAGCCTTAGGACATGGGCTACAGAAGGCACATACACAACCGAGGCATGCTTCAAGAAAGTGTTTTTATATCATAGGAGGGTACAGTCGTCGAGTAGGTGGAAGGTGGAGTGACACGTCATCGCTTTCGACTGTTGAGAAGTTTGATTCCTTTTCACAAACCTGTGACAGTTTTTCGACACCACAGATGAGCTTTGCTCGCAGTGGACATGCAGTAGCTTCTGCTGGGGGGTTAATTTATGCCATTGGTGGAGAGAATGACTCTCTTATTTATGATACTGTGGAATGCTATGACCCTGCTTCTAGATCTTGGTCACTTGTTGCTCCTTTGACAGCTCCGCGTGTGGCGTGTGGAGTATGTGTTGTTGAAGACTTCTTGTTTGTGATTGGTGGCTGGGTTGGGGCTGAGATTGCAGAGGATATTGAGAGGTATGATCCAGACCTTGATCATTGGGAAGTAGTCGGAAAGGTAGAAACAAAGAGGTTTCATCTTGGAGTTACAGAAATGAATGGACTGATATATACAGTAGGTAGGTCACCTTTTCTATGAATAAGAGTGGATTTCCTCTGTCACCTAATTTTCACGTGCGCATGCGTAATAAGAAAGAGGCAATCCATGGAAGGACACACATAAACATTGAAGTTGAACCTTGTTCAACTTTTGTGTTTATGCACGGCCTTTAATACACTGCTTCTATTTTACTTACACCCGTAACAGTTACTTGCATTTGCACTTGAAAATTGCGTGACAGTGAAATCCACCATAACACAGGGTTCAACCTTTTTTAACCCTATTGCCCAATTAGCTTACAGTGCAGGCATTTGTGAGGGAACATGAACCCTTAAAATTTCATTCTTGTTATGTGGTGTGTTTGACAAAGGGAGCTTGAAAGGGTAACCCTTTAAAGTGCATTAATATAACTCTCCTTACTCTCCCTCTTATACTAAAAGAGATGTTGTTCAATATGAAACTTACTCTTCTTGGTAAAAAAATTGCTTGTGTTGTTTGAAGAAATATTCATGTAAACTGCATGACACAGCTCCTTTAAGTAAATTACAAAGTAAGAAACAGAGAGCTAGGTCACTAACAGCACTGTACTGTAGGCTATTGCTTAACAAAATGTTGAGCATTATAAATGAGTAGAAAGCTCATTCAACACATGTACAGTGTAACAAATTGACTGCCATCATTCAACAAGCTGCTGCTTTTATGATTTTATGCTCTCTGGTGATCTCTGCCTAGAAATTTTAAAACCTACAGTATCTTTGTTTTCACTAATGTATTAAGAATGCTCAACATGTTGCTTGGCCTGTTTTGACATGACACTTTGTCGACTACAGGTTTAATGTGTATGATAAATATTCAATGCGGAAGTTATTTTTAGCTGGTGCTTTTTGTCCTAAAATCACAGGAGGGTTAAGTGAATTAGGGGAAGAACTCAAAGTGTGCGAGTGTTATAACCCTGTCAGTGAAACTTGGATGAGACTACCTGACATGCATCACAAGAGAGCATACCTTGGACTGACAGCCTTGGAAGGCAGCCTGTATGCTGTAGGTGAGGAAAAGATCGAAACTTCCCTGTAATAGGCTGTGATCCTTTTGGCCAGTGCCACAGATCTAGACCTCTTGCTAGGGCCTGAAGCAAGAAGTCTGTAAAACACATCATTCCAGCTTTCTGTTCAGCGTCAGAAATATTATTATTTGAAACAATCACTTTTACCTTGGTTAACAAAAATTTGAAGCTACTACAGTTGCGTGCTGTCCTGGTCCCATCCAGAGCTCTTGATCCATGGTACTGTCCAAACAGTCAGCAGTTCTTGTGACAAGAATAGTCAAGGCCAAAAGCCAAGTGAGAACTTGTAACAAATGTCTTTTTGAAGTAAAGTTTTCTGAGCCTGTGATCAATTGAATACCATAACTTGTCAGAAGAAAACTGTGAAAAACCATGTTACACCTCGATGAGTTGTACACCTGAGCCTGCAATACAGTCATTTGACACTGGTCAGCAGATACCCTATTTTTGAAACTGGTCACAACATGGGTGTTGAATATCAAGTTTAACATTTTACATATGCCTTAGACTTTTAAGATTAGTAAGTAAGACATTTCACATCTGTTAACATAAAGGGGCAGATACAATTTCTTGGATGCATAGATAGCCAATAATTGTTCTAAGACATGGTGCTCCACTGCTTACGCTGTGTATGCAGGAGAGCTCCAAAAGAATAATGACATGGTCACTGAGTACATTAATACATGCTACCAGCCTCCTTCCCAGGGTTCTCTCCTAACCATTCCTACGGAGAGAGAGAGAAAGGTAGGAGAGAGAACCTGGGAACAAGGTTGGCATGGTACTTGTTTTTGAGTATTTTTACATTTACGAATAAGCCAAAAATTTAACATAGCTCTATTCTGGTTTTATTTTGACCTTGAATGCTAATAGCAGCCAAAATTTATGGTTTTATACTACTACATGAAAAATTACTGCAATTTGATTGGCTTACAGCACTGGTATAAGTCGAATTAAACTTTATGGATGTACACTTTTAATGTTTGGAAAACGCCCATCATCATATTTGTTTATTATCGTACTAAACATGCACTATAAACCGTATTTATGGTGAGCACTATAAAGTTTTATGTCTCTAATTTCACTCGCCTAACGGCTCGAGAAATTATGTATAACAATTTCGAAATATCACTTGTGGTATTTATGCCAAATATCACTACAAATCATGCTATTACCTATACTAATTTACATTTTCAATAATAATTACTAACAGGCGGCTGTAATGAACTGGAAGGAACACTATCCAGTGTAGAACAGTTTGATCTTCAAAGAAACCAGTGGACAGAGGTGATTCCCATGGAAAAACCAAGAGCAGGTTTGTCATTGGCAGTCAGCAGTGGACTTTTGTATGTGTTTGGTGGGCGGACAGCGAGTGAAGAGTACTCCCCTCCTGTGACACTAACAGGTGTTGAATTGTATGATCCGAAGAAACAGAAATGGAAGCACGTTACTGATTTGTGTTTTAGTCGGTGTGATTTTGGCATTGGCATTGTGTAACCTGAAGGTATTAAACAAATCAAGAATAGCTTTCCATGTTCGGTACTCTTATCTGCCATAGGAATGATGTCAAAATGTTCAATTGAAACCACAAGCGAAGTTTTGATCATTTGATGTCATTTCTATGCTGGATAAGTGTATAAACCATGGAAAATTGTTGTCAATGAATTAATATTGACAGTTTTTTTGATGTTTCTGCGCTTTATTTCCATGTGCTTTGGGATGTGTTATTTGGTGCTGTGGAAACTATAGTTGCCATGTGCAAGTATTTTTTAGTGTTTTTTTATGTCAGTATCATCATCTATGCTAGGATTTGTAGCTCAATATGTTTCTTTTTTTAATGGGGTCATCCAAAGTGTCTCAAATGTGAATGACTGGTGCATATCCTGTGAGGGAGCGGGATGTACTCAACATACTCAAGGCATTCTTATGGGACGGTTCTGCCCCAAAGTTCAACCCCTTACCCGAGTTTTAGTCACTATTTTTAAAGAAAGGTACCCCTTTCATATACCTTGTAATTAACAAATGGCACCCCTTTCATATACTTACTGTAGAACTTTGCATCCCTTTAAACTGCTGTAAATACACTGTCTCTTATGAACAAATCAGAAAACAAGAAGGTTTTCTCGACTTTTTCAAAGCCGAGAAATACATCTGTTAGCCCTTTTGTGTTTTTTTACAGACCGAGATATTACAAATTTTCGTACCCTTACGTGAAAACTCTTCCCTTTCACATACCTGAATTCTGAAAAACGTACCCCTTTTGGGCGGAGCCAGTCCCCGTATAGGCCATGATAGGGAGTATCCCACCCCCTCTGGGGGTGTGTATACGTTGTAAGTGAAATCCTTTCTTAGGTTTAATACTAAGGTTATTTCATATAAAACTTTGACAAGTGTTATTTACATTGTGGCTATTGTTTGCAGGCTGTAAAAGCAAGAGCTGTACTCGTAAATTCCACTTGTAACAGGGGCACCCAACGACTGTTTTTGTAGAATATAGCTTCTGAGAAACAAAAATTGCCTTGAATTTTCTATAGCTTGAGTACGGCTAAGAATTTCTAGATAGCCGTTCCATTCATGTACAATTTTCGAAGCTTATCTAATAAATTCCCTGCAATCTTCTGACGTTTTAAATTTTTCGCTTTAAGCTATTTTTCTTTGAAAAAGGAGACCTAAATTTTTTGGATGCACTGGAGCGAGAAATCAGAAAAATTATCCCTTTCGAAAAACTTTAAATTGCATCTAAAATTTTTGACAAAATAACACCGAAGCCCTTGTAATTTTGAAAAGACTCAAGTTGCCCTTGGATGACCGAACGGATACAAACTTCATATTTAAATCAAAATCGAAAAAACAATAGCATGGTTCCTAGCTAGCAAACCTGTCCATTTTGGTTTGTCAAGTAACAGTTTTATTATGTTATCTCAAAACTACACTTTACTATACCTAGATCCTGAATGAAAACAACAACAGCTCTCCGGCCCCTTAATTATCGGGGCTTTCAATGAACGAGCCCCAGGAATTTCGAACAAGGGGTCTCAGGGTATCGCAGTCAACTTGACACTCGTGTTGCTCACCGTGGTTTATTCAGGCTCAGAGATGTGTTAAGCATTACAATAGTTGTCGAATCCTTTCTTAGTGGTAAATACATAATCAGTTGGAAATCACATGAACACGTGTCGAGCACGTGATCTTAGAAGAGAGTAAACATTTGAATCTAATGATATACTAATTTTGATTTTGTCAAGAAGAAAGTCACATCCGGTAGTTTATTTTATATCAACTTTCCCAGCTTACTATTTATGATAAATGGTCCAGCCTTCTGAGCTGCAGCCATCACTTTCATGCGTCGTGATTTCAAGACCAGGACAGGTTTGAGTAGTGATTCCATCGCCGTAATGACTGAGCCACCACGCAACGTTGCCGTTAATCGAGTACCGCAGATAGACTTCGTCTCCTTGCTGTAAGGGTTTTCCGCGACAGTTGGTTTGAGTGTTGGATGAACATTGGTTGCCATGGCGACTGCTATCCGTTGAATATATCCAGAAGACGGCTCCGCGACAGTTCATGTTGTGGTCCCACCAGCTGTTGCCGATGCAGGTCTCCCTTAGTTCACATCCGTTACCACTGCCCCAACAGTTTACATGGCGATTCAAACCTAATCTCTCGAGACGTATCTGATCACCATATTTAACCGGTTTCTCATCCTGGTGGTCAATCAAATAGACCCTGAAAAGATTGTCATTACAACTATTCCATACGGATGAACTCAAATCTTGATTATACCCGGGGCAATTTGTCAACCTGCAGATTCCCCAACAACCCAACCATAGAGCAGATTTTTTCGTTTCCTTCAGGGCCACTATATCGCCTGAACGAATATAGTGTGGGCATTGGGCTTTGTTTTCGTCGTGGCTGTTTCCACAGTCGTTATCTCCGTCACATTTCCAAGATGCTGAGATGCATTTGCTGTTGGAACAATCAAACTTGTCGTATTGGGCAGAACAACATTTTTGTGTATTACAGGATTCAGTTTCATGATCCACTCCGCCCTGATCTCTTACGCAGTCGTTGGTATTGTTTGTTCCCATGCAAGACCTTTTGCGTTGCCTGGTCCCGCTGTCGCAAGTTTTGGAACATTGACCCCATGAACCCCATGTATTCCAAACAAATTTACATCTTGGTTGAGAGTCCCATTTCAAGATGTCCCCATTCTTTTTGCAAGTCACTGTTCCATTTGTTGCTTGTCTTTGCTTGTCGCATTTTACAGTCAGTGTCATCCCTTCAAAAGTTAGTTCGTCCTTGCAATTAATATTTGCACCATCAACAGTTAAATTACCACAGCTGTAAGACTTCCAGTATCGGCTGTAGATTCGTTGACGACCTTTGAAGGTGTTGTGGATGAACATGGCTTCTTTCTTGTACTTGGCTCGGAGAGATTCAGTTGTCCCTTTAGTTTCCATTAGCCATTTTTTGTGGAGCAACAGAGCTTCACCGAGTGCTTGGTCCAAATAGGCCAACTTGTCTCTGAAGCTCTTGACTGCTTCATTGTATCCCGGCGAGCAGCCAGCGCCGCCATTATCATTGAAGTAGTCCCGTTTATAAGAATTATAAATATCTTTGCCTGGGCTGTCTAAAATTCCTTGACCAAGGATCATTTTCTTCAGTCTGTTCCTTAGTTGAAAACTGGTAGTGATAGTTTGCAAATACCTGTTGACGTCTTGCCCAAATTGATTGAAAGTTACGTCGTTCGTCTGCAGTTTTGCGTAGAGATCTACAATGTCTTCGATGTTGTAAATAACTTGTGAGTGCTGTACGATTTTGTTCGTATAACCCTTGGAATCCTGGATCTTCTTCACCACTTCGTCTAAGTTCCGAGACAAAGATCTGACCGAAAAGAATACGTCCACAGCAGTGGGAACGCCATTCATAATATTAAACGACCGCCTCAGATCGGCTAACATTCTTTCAATGTCGTCATTAAAGTCAGCGGGGACTTCACAAGATTCACCTTCAAAGTATGGGCGGCAAATGCATTGGTGTGTTTGTGTAAATGGTATCACCACGCAATGACCGTGACCTTGACACTTGTCTGACCCACAATTGTGCTTGTTTTTGACGGAGTAATCTACCGTAGATGAAATGAAGTCCCACTCGTTGATTTGTCTTTTTAAGTCTGAAATGCACGAACGATACGACGGCTCTTGCGATGTCGCTTCCTCGCACAAATCTTCAATGGGAACCATTTTTACCAATTCATGTCTTGAGCATGTCTTATGAGACAAGATGTTTTCATCTGCGTAGATGTAATTGTGATTGCATCCGTCGCACCCTTTGAAAACCAATAAATTCCCTATTTGTGGGATGCTCGAACAGGTGCTAGCAGGATCCTGGGCGTCTTGGTAGACAACGTAGTACTCTGGATCAGCGCTGTCTAACTTAAATTTCGCTTGACCACGCCAATGAAGTTCAGCAAAATGGGGACGATCCTTTTTGACAGCTGCTACAGCCCAGGTGTACCAAGAATGCTGTGTTTTTAGTTCATCAAATATAGCGTCAACGATGATTTCGTGTGGCTGATTTTTTTCTTTCATCTCCTTCAAAATTTTGTTGGCTTTTTTCTCAGCGTTTTTAACAGAGTCTTTTTTGCATTCCCAAACCCTGTTATCAAACTCTCTGCGAATCTTGAAAAAGTACCCCATAACCTCTTGGAATCCTTGATTGGCCCGCTGTGCGTCACCCTTAAAGTAGTGGTATGTCAGTGTCTGCTGGGAAGCGCTGATCATTATGTTTTTGATGAAGAACGTTAGCTCCGACAATTTTGTTATGTCGCAGCCGTATTCATCAATGAACAAATCAAAGAGGTTATGGCCGGTTATGCCTTCTGGAAGAGCTGCGAATCTGTACATGTTAAGGACGTTGCCATCTAAATTGTTATTTTCGTAATAATTCACGAATTCTTCAGCCAGTTTTACTTGTTCTATTCTTCTGGTTTTAGTGCCCATAGCTCTGCGAATATCCTTCAGTTTCTTTCCCCCATTCTTGATCGCATTCTCCCAAGTAATCCATGTAGACAGAAAGTTATTAAATGCGCTGTTTGCCTTGATTGATGTCTCCATTTCATCGAGTTTCTCGCCAAGGCTATCGAGTTTGGCATTTACCTCTTTAAAGCGTTCATTTATTAAGCTTGTAATGACATCCAGGTCACTTGGCATGAAAAACGTGAACGCAAAATTAGCGATTGTTGCCGCAGCTTGTACAGCACGGAGAGCCTTACCAACCATGGAAGCGTACTTGGAGAGTTTAGTCTGCTTCGTCAGTAGTTCTGCTGCTGTTGCCTCCTTGGACCTCTCNGAATTCTTCAGCCAGTTTTACTTGTTCTATTCTTCTGGTTTTAGTGCCCATAGCTCTGCGAATATCCTTTAGTTTCTTTCCCCCATTCTTGATCGCATTCTCCCAAGTAATCCATGTAGACAGAAAGTTATTAAATGCGCTGTTTGCCTTGATTGATGTCTCCATTTCATCGAGTTTCTCGCCAAGGCTATCGAGTTTGGCATTTACCTCTTTAAAGCGTTCATTTATTAAGCTTGTAATGACATCCAGGTCACTTGGCATGAAAAACGTGAACGCAAAATTAGCGATTGTTGCCGCAGCTTGTACAGCACGGAGAGCCTTACCAACCATGGAAGCGTACTTGGAGAGTTTAGTCTGCTTCGTCAGTAGTTCTGCTGCTGTTGCCTCCTTGGACCTCTCTCTTAGGTCTTTGATGAGTTCAATTGATGTTTTCATTTCCTCGTGTGCTATTTCAATTGCCTGTTGGGCTGTCTCCATGGCGACAGTTGCTTGGTGTTGTTGGGTAGGGTCTAACTCGGAGGTACCTGAACAGCTCAGCCAGGAAACCCATAGCGCGGCGAAATACCACCCAGCAAGGCGCCTCATTTCCGAGAATCTATCCAACGACGATGAGACTGCCAAGGTAAAGGATTGTGAGGGTGAGCGTGTTACGTGTAAGGTAATAGGGACTTTAAGATCAAACGGCGCGGACGGCAACGAGAACGTCTAAAAAACAAAAGGTTTAATAAGCAAAACAACAACTTTGCACGTGCATCACGCTTTTTTGTACATTTCTTTCCTGTTTTTACTCGACTTCGACGTGAAAATGCCTAATTTCGCGTTTTATGGAGGACGTAAACAAGCAACGACAAATTTTATTTCTCTTTCTGAGCTTGGATATGGTCATTTGAAATTCAGCCTCAGGAGGGTTCGCCTACATTTGACAAAGTAAGTGGGTAGGAATAATCGCTATAAAGACTGAAAGAACGCAAATTTACTTTTTAATCGACGTTCTCGTCGTCGTCGCGTCGTTGGATCTTAAAGTCCATAATGATAAAAAAAGGGTCTACTTCGCCGCCTATGTTCGTTATAAGACTATATTGCCATTAAACTTAAAGAGTTAAGAAACGATGTCATCTACATGAGGCTATTTTATCCGAATCACAGAGGCTATGATTCCAGCTATGCCGCAGTACTAATCCACAGAATGTTAATACAAAATACACGTGGTCATCAGATTTTTTCTAAACATCTCGTCGCCGGATAAAAATATAAAATCTACGCTGAGAAAGTGCTGAAGAAAGAACCGAAGTTAATATATTAAAAATGAATTGACATCGATGTCTTTTTCATTTTTCCCTCTTCTGATTTATTTATACTTTCCAATGTCAGTCGCTAAGCATGAATTTTGTTTACCTTTTGAATAACATGTATTTTTGAACTCTCGATGAATCCCGAAGAGAAAGAAAGAAAAAGAGCAGAAGATCTTTCGAAACGTCAACCGAACATTAAAATATCGCATAGTTATGGTAAAACGCCTATTCAAATTGTTTCGTTGTGTGCGCTTGTGTTTTTTTTCTTTTCTTTTTCAATCTCTTTCTTAGTTTCAATTTGAATTCTCTAGCTGTTGAGTCTGTGTTCCGTTATATTTTCTTGTTTTCTAGTTGTACAAATACCCTATGGTTTGTTCTAAGACTTACTCAAAGAACGAGTGCCTGTTCTTTTGAGATTCTGCGGTTTACATATGAAAAGAAATCTCACCTAATATCCTTAACCGTGGAAAATAGTACGTTTGAAGTCAGTCCGTGCAGAAGAAATAACTTGCGGGCAAAAACCGATAAATAGAGTTGCGTTGTAGACTGAAGGAAGCTGTTGTGGTATAGTGTAGCTTTTTCATTTTAAAATGCTCTGTATAACTAAGCTTTAAACAGGTCTGAACATCTCACCTTTTCTAAACCTGATCACTCTTCGTGAAAGCTCTGTCCTTGCTGAGTTATCGTCAGATACGTTTCAGCAACACGAACAGTTTGGAAGGTGCATACAGTTTTAATGATCTTTCCTGTGTTTTATTGGTCACTTTCTTTAATTAGAAGTTAATATTAGTGTTTTGCACGGCGCAACAGGAAAAATTAGTTAGGCGTGTCTTTGAAACGCGCGGCTGCTTACTTTAGGCGCTTCACGTGACTGTGCAAACTGATACCCATCAACACTAAGCAAAATTTTATTTGCAAATTTTGCGGTTTAACCTGCCACTACAGATTTTTCAATTAATTATTTATTTGCTTGCCAGTCTTTAAAACCGCCGTCGGTCTGCAGCCTCGAGACCGAAATATTATTGCGAACGTCAAAACCATGAGCAAGTAAATTTGAAACGTAAAAACCCGACCCAGTCATGCAAACTAAAGGTTTTGTACAGTAAGCTGTTTACTAGATTTCCCGCCAAAATTGTGCAGAAATCTCGAACACTGATACGAAAAACCGGTGGGGGTGGGGGTTGGGGAGAGAGGAGCCTCCTTATCTCGTGATGTCCCTCCGGAGATCCTGGCACAGGCAAACTCCCAGGGGGGGAGGGGAGGGTACTCCTTATAACGCCCTATACTGCGATGCTCTGGGATATCTCTAGCTGAAATGTATGAGAGGGTAGGGAAATCTGTCATTTGGTCTGATAAAAAGGCTCACAGGCTAACAGATGTAATTCATGGCTGAGATAAAGTCCAGAAAACGTTTTGGTTATATGATTTATCAAAATGTTTAGGACTGTGCATTTAAAGCAGTTGAAAGGTATTCCAAATTCTGAACTAGGTATGTGAAAGGGGTACCATTTTTCGATAGAAGATATACGAAAGGGGTACCTTTTCTTTCAAAAAAGGTATATTCCAAGGTAAAGGGTTGGACCTCGGGGCGGAGCCCCCCCGTATAAAACATTTTTAAGTACCCCTCCCCCCGCCCCAACCCGGGCTGATTTTGACTGCCTTGCGCAGTTACTCAAAAATGTTCCTTTTTTAGGTAGTTGCACTCCTTCACATTTTTCACATCTTAGGGAAACGTGATGAGACAATCAAATTTTTCATTCTAGCTGGTGTAGAAAGTCTCTTACAGGTATAATTTGAAATCGCTAACGCCATCTACACACACACACACCTTAAGGGTGAGAATGAAAAAAACAAATCAACGGCTTATAAAAAGAAATGTCAAGCATTTTTTACTTAAAATAATCATATTTACTACCGCAGGAATCAATTTAATATTTATTAGAGGCGAAGAAAAATCTGAAAATTTTTCACATTTATAAACAGAGAGTTCTGGGGCAGGCAAAAAATGGTAATTTGCACTTCGTTTGTGAAGTTTATTTTATGAAAATAATGCTCGGGAGGATTTCAAATGGGAGTTAATAATGGGGATTTTGATTGTGGTTTTTTATCTTGTTTTCAATCGTCTTGTTATTTTTTGTTTTTGTCCCCGCTCAGTTTTCAGCGCCTTGTACGGTTATTGTTTTCTTTTAATACCATATAATCATTTTGGAGAGAAATAAGCTCAAAAGTTAATAATAATTTTGTTGCAATTACTGTAATTTTATGTTTTATCAGCTGCCCTGTGGACGAAACTGTTACAATAATATTTAAAGTAATATCCACCAAACGACCGATTTACGGTATGCTTTGTTTATCAGTAGTAAAGATTAACCTATTTGTTATATGATTAAGGATTCCAGAGTTGTTTTCATGTATACAGTCGACCCCAACTTAACGGACACCGGCTTAATACGGACACCTCTGTCGCTATTATCTCGCCTGCTCGAATCCTTGGGTATTTTGATTAGTTCGAAAACCAGGCGTACGGAAGTTTCTGATTGGCTCAGAGGCGATAACGCGTTAATGAAATGCTAATATAAATCTATAGTCTCTCCCAACGGAAAGTTAGTGCGTTCAGACACGTGGAAATGAAATAAAATTGAGCAAGCTAACAAGCTCTTACGGAAGTCGGTTACTTTTTTGATTATAAATATATACTAAATGTGTGTTAAAAAACAAAGGTTAGTAAATCTCGGGTGGATATGGCCACTATCCTGTCTGAGTAAACCAAACGCTTAGGAAACGGCACAACCCTAAGTTTTACATTCAACGGTCAGTTAATGTCCCCTTCCCTTTAGAGGATTGGCGCCTTGCGCTCATTATAAAGTAAGTGTTGTTCATTCCTCTCTCACAAAGGTTAAATCAGGAGTTTAATATGGATGATTTATAACGTTATCGTGAAATATTTAAGACCACTTAAGCAATAGAAAACTTCCGTTTTTTTATAGCCTGATAAAAAGTAGACCGGCAAGATGATGGGAGAATTTGACTCAGTTATGCAAATCAGAGACAAAGTTCAGGGTTTGCATAACTTTGGAGAATTCTCCCAACCCTTGAGTGTTTACAAAACTCTCGTGTGACCACATCTCTTGGCCAATAACTGTGCGCTAGTCGTATATTAGGGCGCTTTCCATTTGTCAGAACTGACCGGTCAGACCGTTCCCGTCCCAAATACTATGCACCAAGGAGATGGTTTTTCAGCAAAAACCATTGGAAAAAGCCGATTTCATTTGCTAACTGACTAGTGTGGCAATGGTCCGGCTTGCCAGTTCTGACAAATGGAAAGCGCCTTCAGTTGTTTTAAGAAATAGGCCCTTTGCAGGTTACAAAACCGCAATGCAACTAGAGAACAAGAGACGAACTGGGACAAAGCCGCGAACAAAGAACATTAGCAAAATAGACCACTTCCGAGTTCCAAAAACCTCAGTTTCAAAATAAGGGTAAGTACACAACCTTTCTTGTGAAAATGAGTTTTATTTGCATGAGAATGAAAAAAATCATTTCCACATCAAAGGCCGAGCACTTAACCTCGTTTTGATACAGAGGCTCGGGAAAACTCGGAAATGGCGTATTGTTGGTCTTGGCCCAGTGCATCCCGGCCTCACTTCCCAGGGTGACGGTTTTGTTCCTCGTGAATTGCTAGCTGCAAAGGGCTTATTGCGAAGCTTACAATCAGTGTACAATAGTTTATAATTGGTAATCCACGTCCCCCCCCCCCAACCGCCCTACCCATGGCGAAGACGGTTGGCTTTACTTCAGGGTAAAAACGTTGGATAAAATCACTGCATTTGTGAACGCAAAATTAGCGATTGTTGCCGCAGCTTGTACAGCACGGAGAGCCTTACCAACCATGGAAGCGTACTTGGAGAGTTTAGTCTGCTTCGTCAGTAGTTCTGCTGCTGTTGCCTCCTTGGACCTCTCCCTAAGGTCTTTGATGAGTTCAATTGATGTTTTCATTTCCTCGTGTGCTATTTCAGTTGCCTGTTGGGCTGTCTCCATGGCGACAGTTGCTTGGTGTTGTTGGGTAGGGTCTAACTCGGAGGTACTTGAACAGCTCAGCCAGGAAATCCATAGCGCGGCGAAATACCACCCAGCAAGGCGCCTCATTTCCGAGAATCTATCCAACGACGATGAGACTGCCAAGATAAAGGTTTGTGAGGGTGAGCGTGTTACGTGCAAGGTAATAGGGACTTTAAGATCAAACGGTTTAATAAGCAAAAGAAACAACTTTGCACGGGCATCACGCTTTTTTGTACATTTCTTTCCTGTTTTTACTCGACCTCGACGTGAAAATGCCTAATTTCGCGTTTTATGGAGGACGTAAACAAGCAACGACAAATT